TATATATATATATATATATACACACACCTTAAATAGGACATGGACCCCCCCCCCCCCAATCCATGCCTAAAACTTATAAATAGCAAATTGGGTTACTTTCATTTGTGTGTATAACAAATTAAAAATAATAATGATAATATATAACATTAATTTATAAAGTTAAAGTACAGAAGGAAAACAACAAGATTATCAGACATAGTCTTCTCATTTTTTTATTCTGTCAATCACATAACAACAACGACTGCAGTCACTGAACTTGAAAGGCTTGGTTTGTTGAAATTTGCTTTGTCATTGAGGTGGCAGGTTATCTTTAAGAAGCTATACATACAGAAAAAGAAATAATTTAGTAATGACGGGGAAGGGGGTGGTGGTATTCATAAATTTAACACAAATTAATACTTGTAGGGGTAAAAGAACTCTGACAAACACAGGTTGAGAACTCTAATCTCTATGTTTGGGATTAAGGGCATAGCCTTCAACTTGGGAAACTGCCTTAGGTTTTTACATTCGACTATGTCAATATGCCACTGATTTAGAATAAAAAAAAATAAATGAATAAGGGTTGCAATGCATAGCTATTATTATTATGTATTTTGAACTTTTTGTAATTTGCTGACACACTAAAACTAAGACAAAATTCAAATTTTATTTCTTATCAGTTAAAAGGATTTACAGTATACTTCAGTGAATCTAGAATCACGGAGTACTCTGTCTAAGTATAAACAGCACATTTGAAAATTTCTCTAAAGGTTTTGCTGTTTTAACTAGTATTTAAATAATTGTACTTCCTAAACAGCAAACTTAGTTTTTTTTACTTTGAATACTACATTAAGCAATAAACAAGAAGTACTGTTTTTAATAAGCTTAAACATCTTTTATATATATTTCTGGTTCAAGCAACTTTTTTGGAAAGATCATGCTTATTAAGTGATTTGTATGTGCAACACAGAAAGAAGAGCTGGAAAATATACGACACGTATCAATGACTAAAAATGTTTTCTGATGCTATACATAATCATGTATAAAGTTATGCTTAAACTGCTACTTTTCCAAAGAACCCATGAAAACAAAAACTTATTTTGCATATTAATGAAAAATTATGTCGACTAACTTAAGAAATATCTTCCAATTTTTAACCAGTGTATTTACTTTTTTGACAAAATGTGTGATAAGTCAGTATTTGAGTACTTTGAAGTTTATAATTTGCATTTTAAATATATTTATATTTAGAACAGGAAGTTGGAGCATGTCCTGGTGGCTTCTTAGTTCTTCAACTTCATGATGAACTTGTCTATGAAGTTTCTAAGAAGGACTTAGAAGTAGTAGCCAAGATAGTGCAGAGAGAAATGGAACAGTCTGTCAAATTATCTGTGCCCCTGAGTGTAAAGCTGAAAGTTGGACCAAACTGGGGTACTTTATCAAATTTTGAGTAGCATGTCTTTCAATGTTAATATGTATATATATATGGGTTGCAAAGGAAGAAACCCTGTAATTTATGAGTTGCAGAATATTCTTTCCAAATTAATCTGGTCCAATAACATTGTTCCAGAAACTCAAATGCCACATTTCAGTCTTTTACATGCCACAATCAGAAAGTAAAAATAATCAAAATTTTAGAAATCAATTTTTGAATACCCATTAAAAAATAAATCTGAGTATTTATTTTCTTTTGATTCTGATTTTAATATAGTCATTAATGAACTTAATTAATTAAAATTGCATATAATACATTAAATCATTTTTCATGTGTTATGTAAATACGACTACTACTACTATCTTTGTTCACAGAATGACTTAACATATGTATATTTTATACATTTAAAATGAATTTCTTTCCATTCCTAGATAAATGTCTTCTCGTTATTATACATATTTATTTTCTTACCACTTATTGAAGTAAAAGATATTGAGATTGTAACTGAATATTTGTAGTGTGATAATGTTTTATGTAATGTAAATATATAATTCAATAATGGAAAGTCTAGATATTTCCAGTACGTAGAACATCTTGGATCAATTTTATATTCAGTTTTTATATGTGATTACCAGACTGTTTAATTTCACATGTAAGAGCTGTCTGTGTTTAATAACCAAAATCTGTATGTGAGATTATTTATAAGTATAGTAAAATGACTTTTGTAAGTTTTGTACACTTTTCAAATTTAATCATTGGTCATTTATAAACTATAGCAAGTCCCTTCTTCATGACAACAATGGAGTTTCCAATTATGTATGCCTCATGTGAAATGAATTTAAAAAAATAAAAAAGTTTATCGAACTAAAAAAAACTGGGTTAAGTTGCCAGACATAATTTTCTTAAAAAAAAGGTGAAAATTTTGTATAACTGTTGATGTTTGAGATCAATCAATTCTGTATAAAGAAAACATTTATCAGTGTGTTGTTTCATAGTAGTACATGCTTTTCTAGTGATCATTATTTTAACTTCACCAATATATTTCTGCGTAATCATGATTTTATGCATGCAAGCTACACAAAATGGTAATTAATTTCAATGATATGTACATTTTGTATGCTTTGTTGAATAAATTTTGTCACCACCCTTGGAACAATCATTTTTTAGGAGTGAAAGAAAAGATAGGAGTATCAATCAGAGTAATCATGCATT